TTTTTAATATTTATTATGTATACAGTGTTCTGTCTGCATGTATACTATGCCTGCAGGCAGAAAAGGGCACCAGATCTCATTACAGATGGTTGTGAGCCACCATGTGGGTGCTGGGAATTGTACTCAGGACCTCTGGAAGAGCAGCCAGTGCTCTTAACCACTGAGCCATCTCTCCAGCGGGGGAAGTGGTGTGGGAGAATTTTCTGTATTTTGTCAATCATGTTTTAAATAAACGCTGATTGGCCAGGCAGGAAGTATAGGTGGGAAAACCAGACAGGAAATAGAAATAATGCAATGAGAACAGGAGAATTCTGTGAAGGAGGAAGTTGATTCCTCCCACTCCTGCACAGACCACCAAAGCAACAGGATGTGATCTGCCCCAGTGAAAAAGGTACTGAGCTACATGGCTAAAATAGATCAGAAAAAATGGGTTAATCAAGATGTGAGAGTTAGCCAGTAGGAGCCTTGAGATAATGGGCCAATCAGCTCTATAACTTATAGATATTTCTGTGTTATTTCTTTGGGGCTTGCTGGCTGTGGAGTACTGTGCAGGACAGAAACACCAACAAGCAGGCAAACAGGACCCAGTTCATATTACACTCTTTCACAATTTCTAGCAATTTTCTATGATATTCCAAAGAAAAGTAACATGTGATAGAAGTTGAGCTATTTAAGTAGTGAGGTTTACAGTAGTGTTAGGCTATAACACTGTATGTGGAGATTGCATGCTGTTTACAACATGATAAAGGACCCCCATATTGCTGAGTTTGGGGATGAAATATGACTTCCCTAAGCCTTCATTCACAGTGGTGTCCATGGAAGAGGCTCCTTTGCCAATGATCTCAAAGTCATAAACATAAGACTTCCTGGATCCAAAGCTGGGAACAAGTTAATCTGTGTTGTTTACAGACAGTAAGTTTGTAGTGAGTTCAATTTTAATCACAGCCCAAGAAATCCAAAGCACCAGGATGGAGACTTGGTTTGTGGGCAGGACTGCCAGGCTTTTTCTATCACACATTAAAAACACATGGAAATTTTGTTCTTTTAATCTCCATGTTCTTCCCTTACATACTGCAAAAATACATGTTTAACTGTGAGAGTCCTTGTTTTGTAAGACCCCCATCTCCATGTGTCCAGTCTGAGTGAGCAGCAGTAAATGAGTGAAAGCACATTTGAGTTCACTGCAGCTGTCACAAAGCAAAATACAAAGTTTATCAAAGATACAGAGCACAGCACAACTTATTGGACATTGATTAGGGCAGTTACTCATCAGTCATATTCTTGACTTTGAAATTGGGAATTTCTTTATTCCACATACTGCTTGTTTCTCTCTTATGATGGTGTGTCAGCAGTAAAACAGGGGAGATCTGAATATGCTTATCACAAATAATTTAACATTTTGTATGTGAAAACTTGATGTATGAAATCATCTAATTAATGCAAATTAAAATAAAAATTCATGTTACTTAAATACATACTTAATTTTCCATAACAGTGTTTACTTAATGATAAAACCTTAAAATCAGATAACTACTTTGCCTTTGATATCAAATGCCATGAGCTGACTTGTAACCACTTGATTAATCACACACATTTGAACTTGTGCCCCGTGATGGCCTCAGAGGCATAATCCTCCTCCTTATGTCTCTTCAGTCCTGGGATTACAGGTGAATCTTAACTTCTTGCCATGATGTTATGTTTATTTATTTGTCTGTTGCTTGTACTTTATACATAACACTGGGTTTATATTTTCTTCTTATATATACTTTTGGAGTTAACCAACCTGAAGTCCAGGCACATTCTCTGATTTTTTTTATTGCTTCTGATTTTAATTCAAAATCAAACTTTTTTTTTCTTAGAATGGCAACAATTTTTGGTTCTGTGGTCTATTCATGTTAATAAAATTATTACTTGACATAGGATGGCCACAACACCTTTTGGAGAAGACTTTACACGTTCAATATGTCAACAAGTCCATTTTCACCAACTTTCAATATGGATGATTTCTAGATTTTTCTAGAATATGCATTTCTGATATAAACACTCTTGGCAGTGTTGCTCTACAAACATGACTATTTGAAGAAATCTTCTTTCATTTCCCTTTCCATCTTCCCAAATTTAGAGTCCTGATTCAGTTTTCCAATGTTGTGGAGAGGATACTTTTTTGTTCCTGTTGAGTTTACCATTGCTTTCAGATTAAAGCTTCTCTCATCTCAATCTTAAATTAATGTTCTGCAAGATTTCCACTGATTGAATTCTGGGATGCTCTTTGTATTTCTGTTCCTTTATTAGTCTAGAAACTGGAGCTCAGTGTTCACTCATCCTAAGAGTGATTTTACCCATGAGAGATAACACACCCATTTAGCCTCAATTATCTCTCTCATGCTTTTGCATTTTCCCTCACTCCTCACATCATTAATTTTACTTCATGTTTTCTTACTCTACGTTTCTTTTGCTGTTTTGAATTTTTGAACATATTTTATCATTTCCCAAGAGCTGTTAATTTGAGATGGCTTTCCTAACACTTCTGAAAAAGTAAATTGTTTTAAATATAACTTGGATTTTAACATGAATTTCTTATTATAGTACCTAATAAATTACTGTTGGAGAGCTATAAGCTGATATCTTTCAACAATTGTTCATACTGCCTGTCATGTTCATCTTTCAGTTGATTGTCATGAGCCACAGACACACACAGACACACACACAGACACACACACACACACACTGCCCTTATGTATATACTGACTGCTTTGCATGGGCCCCTCTAGGCCAGACCAGCTGCTCAGAATTTATAAACCAGACTTTTACAGTGTGAACTGAGCTGCATCAGATAGGTAGGCAGAGCAAGATGGAGTTACAGACACATGTCCTCATGTCCCTGCTGCTCTGGGTGTCAGGTGAGAAATTTAAAAGTGTTATAGTCCTTGTAGAATCACTTCTTCATATGTAAGAAATTTGGAATATGTGTTATAACATAATATTTCTTATAGTATTGTGTAAGATACACACTGACAAGGTGACATTGGAAGGTTATTAAATTACAAATTTCAACTGTTACTATATTCTGTGCTTGCATATTATGAATCTTCATTTGTATTCCTTATTGCAGGTGCATGTGCTGATACCGTGATGACACAGTCTCCATCCTCCCTGGCTGTGTCAGCAGGAGAGAAGGTCACCATCAATTGCAAGTCTAGTCAGAGTCTTTTATACAGTGAAGACAAGAAGAACTACTTGTACTGGTACCAGCAGAAACCAGGACAGGCTCCTAAACTACTGATCTACTATGCATCCACTCGGCACACAGGGGTCCCTGATCGCTTCATAGGCAGTGGATCTGAGACAGATTTCACTCTCACCATCAGTAGTGTCCAGGCTGAAGATTTGGCAGATTATTACTGTATGCAAGTTAATGAGTATCCTCCCACAGTGCTTCAGCCTCCAACAAAAACTTCTGAGAGTCTCAACAGCTGCCTGTACTGCATTCTGCCCTGCAGCTGCACACTTCTCCCTTCTGCCTGGGGGAGTGGGCCTGAAAATCTGATCAAAATGTTTTCAGAGCTGAGCAAAATATAAGGGTTTCAATGTCTCTCAATTCTTTTGGTATGAAAAATCAGTATGAGAAAATGCAGAGGAACATTCAGTATTCTTTTTCTATATCTTTTGTTACCCAATAGCACAAACTCTGTTGCTTGAATATGAGGAATTTATCTTTCTGTAGTTCTGGAATTCTGGTATCAATCATAGGACTCTTTGGGCTGAAGTGGTGTTGGTGACAAAGTGTATTTTGCTTTAGAAGCTGTGGGAAAGAGTTTTTCCTACTTTTCCATATTCTTTTTTCTTAACAATTTTATTGCTTTTATTACGGTCAGGGGCTACCTAGTTAATCTATAAATCACAAAGCTTAGTATTAGATATAGATCCATATTCTTAGGGCTTTTTACATCCTTAATGGTTACAATTTCTTCTGTTTTTCTTCTTTAAACTTCTATTACATTTTTAGTAGATTAAGATTTCTTTGTCAATGTGAGTGTGCATTTGTATGTTGTGTGCATATTTCTAGGTGCGCATGTGACATGATCTTGTTGTGGAGATCAGAGAACAGCTTGGACTTGATTGTTCCTTTATTATTTGGGTTCTGGGAAACAAATCACATTTGACAACAGGATTGATGTCAAGTGTTTTTGGTATGTGAGCCACCTTGCAGTCACTTAAATTCTATAAATGTAAATTCAGTATAGACAATTTTCTCAAAAGCAATGTTTTTTTCAGAATATCATATATTTTGACCACATGTGCTATTCTTCCCCATTTCTCCTTCACTTTCCTGCTATCTTTTCTTCCCCAGTCTACCTTCTACTTTTATCTCTCTGTCTCTCACACATACACACACATACATGCCAACAAATACACACATACACCTACACTATAAAATAATATGCACACAGAAAAAAAGCAAATATCATCTAATCCTTTTATCTCTATTTCTCTGTTTAGTGTCTTTCTCTGCCTTCCTTTCTTCTTTTTCTCCCTTAATGATTTCTTTCTGTTATTGGATTTTTTACTCTAAGTTTTTTTGTGATGTTTGAACATATTTTATAATCTCTATAGTATTGTTCATCTTATATAGCTTTCCTAACATTTCTGCAAAACAAACTGATTGAAAAATATCACAGATTTTAAAGCAAAGTTGTTATTAGAGTGCTAAATATACTTTTGTTTGAGTGCTATAAGATGACAGCATTCAGTGATTGCTCACTCTCCCCATGATGTTATTTTTGCCAATTGATTGACACCAGCTACTCACACACACTGCACATGCATTTCCTTATGTATTTGCTGACTGCTTTGCATGAGCTTCTCTAGCTCAACCCAACCTCCTTTAATTTATATACTAATCCCTTTGAGTGAGAACTAAGATACATCAGAGAGGCAGGGGGAGCAATGTGGTGTCACAAACCCAGGTTCTCATGTCCCTGCTGCTCTGGTTGTTTGGTGAGAAATTCACAAATATTATCATCTTTTTAAAGTCACTTCTTTGTATATTAAAAATTTGCAATGTGTTCTATGACAGAATATGTCTTACACAATAATACTCTGACAATATATTACAAGATACTAAATGACAAATTTCAACTGCTAATATATTCTGATTTTTCATATTATGCATCATCACTGTCTATTCCTGATTGCAGGTGCCTATTCAGATATCGTGATGACCTGGTCTCCATCCTCACTGGCTGAGTCAGCAGGAGAGAAGGTCACAATCAGCTGCAAATCCAGTCAGATTCTTTTATAGAGTGCCTATAACTTCTTGACATGGTACCAGCAGAAACCAGGACAGGCTCCTAAACTACTGATTTACTGGCCATCCACTTGAAACATTGGGGTCCCTGACTGCTTTACAGGCAGTGGATCTCAGACAGATTTCAGTCTCACCCATCAACAGTGTCCAGGATGAAGACCTGGCAGATTCTACTGTCAGCATTATTACTACTATACAGTAGCCTCTTGAGTGACCATTGATTTATTGAATGAATAAATAAGGGAGAAAAACAAACAATTCCTAGAATCAAATGAAAATGACAACACAGTTACCTAGAGTCTTTGGTAGTTAGCCATATGCTGCTGAGAGGAACATTCATGGCTTTGAATGCCTACATTAAAACAAGAAAGATATCAAGTAAATCACCAAATTCAGAGAGATTTTATATAAACAACTAATGGTGATCCTCAAGGTGTTAGGAAATGATTGAATCAAACTCAGAGGCAATCTGCAGTAAGAAGTTATAAATATTATGGGAAAAACTAATAAAATATAATTTTAAATAGCAATTCATAAAAGTATTCAAATAAATATATGGACAACAGCATGCAAATTAATCTAGAGGGAAAAAAGTAATCTAAATTAATAAAGTCAGAGGTAGAAGACAGAGGCTCACAACACATTCAAATGAAATCCTGATAATCACTAACAAGTATTTAAAAATCTTATACTCCTCCCCAAAACTGGAAAATCTATAAGAAATAATTGTTTTTAGAAACAGCTGTTCTAAAATTAAATCAAAAGAATATCACCAACTTTAACAGAACCACTATTGGAGTGACAATAAAATGTCTATCACAAGCACTCAAGACAGAACTTGGGGACATACAGGAAATCTATGATATGATAATAAATATCTGGAAGCTAAAATAGATGTTCTTAAACATGAAAATGCTAATTTAGAACACAAGAAGTATGATGATAAGAATCAGAACTTTCAGTGTATACAATTCCAAGTAGAGCAGGTATGTGCTAAATCAAAGCTGGTAAGATTCAGCTAAGAAATGGCAGAAAAAGGAAGAGAGGTACAATAAATTTTGTAAACTCTGAACAAGTTACAGAAGAAGAAAAGAATGATACCGTCTAGGCAAAGCCCTAGGAAAACTCTTGTCAAAATGCTGAATAAAGGGTTTGCCCACAAATAAAGGAAGTGCAAATTATTTCCCTAGAACAATAACTATATGTCAAACTGTACCACCAGCATGCCTTTATGGATTCTAATACTTCAGAGGTTTGATGAAAAAAGTAGATTGAAAAATGAGCTAGACAGATTGATTTCAGAGAGAAATAAGCTGAGGATGAAATCAGAAGCATCAGTACAGCAATATGAAAACTCCATGAAAATGGTCAAGGACACAACTCCTGCACACATTGAGCCCCTCAAAGCATCTCATCAGAGAAACAAAGAAAGACCTTTGCCAAATACATTAGAAAAATCCTCTTCCTAGGAAGGCAGACTTAATTACAAAATCACAACTGAAGAAGTACTAATAAATATTTCTAAGGTCAAGTGAATAATTTGATGAGTAAGAATCCTTGCATTTCTCAAGTTCAAGGAGAAATCCTACAGGGCAAATTTCAAAAATCTTGATAAAATTAAAAGAAGATGATGAAAATCATATATCAGAGATGAGAAACTGAATGGGCTTAAGAAGGATGACTGGGCAACTGGAAATGTGTCCTAAGCAGCAAGAACAGAAACTCCAACCAATAATATAACAAACACACCAAGGAATAGAAGCTGAACACAAGAAAAGAGTTTAGAAATGGAAGAGACTTGCTAAGTTAAAGATTTGGGAGTTAGACTAGTTCTGCACAGAATTAGACTTTTTTTATTTTTTTTCATTCAAAAATTTACACTTCCCTCCTCCCATTCTCCTCCCACTCTCCCACTTACCCTCCTCCATCCCCTTCCCTCCTTAAGAGAGGGTGTCCCCTGCCTGGTGGGAAGTGCAAGGCCCTCTCCCCTCCATCCAGACGTAGGCAGGTGTGCATCCAAATAGACGAGGGTCCCAAAATGCCAACACATGCAGTAGAAAGATGTCTAGTGCTATTATCGATGGTTTCTCAGTCTACCCCCATTGGCGGCCACATTCAGAGAGTCTGGTTTGATCACATGCTCGTTCAGTCCAGGTCCGGCTGGATTTGGTGAGCTCGCATTAGATCAGACATGCTGTCTCAGTGGGTGGACCAACCCCTCACAGTCCTGACTTCCTTGGTCATCTTCTCTCTCAACTGCTCTTCAACTGGACCTTGGGAGCTCAGTCCCTCGCTCTGATGAGGGTCTCTGTCTCTATCTCCATCCTTCGCCAGACAAAGATTCTATGGTGATATTAGAGATAATCATCAGTGTGATTGTGGGGCAAGGACCATTCAGGTACCCTCCCCTCTGCTGCACAAGGACCTAGTTGGGGACATCCCCGTGGACACCTGGGATCCCCTCTAGAGCCAAGTCTATTGCCAACCCCCAAATAGGGCTCCCATAATTAAGATATCTTCTTCCCTGCTCCCATATCCGCCCTTCCTCCATCTCAACCACCACACTCCCCCAAGCTCTCCCCAATCCACCCCTTCTCCCTTCTCTCTCCCCCTCTCCCCTTCCCCCACTCCACCCCGCCACCATGCTCTGTTGCTTAGGGTCTTAGCTGGAGTTATCCTTGTGGATTCCTCGGAATTCCTCTTGCGTCAGGTTTCTTGCTAGCTTCATAATGGTTCCCCCAATCAAAATATCTCTTTCCTTGCTCTTGTCTTTGTCCTTTCTGCACCTCAACTACCCCGTTCCCATATCTATATATTTAGAGGAGAATTAATAGTGTTTATTCATCTGCTTGATATTTCTGTACTGAGGAAGCTGGAGCTGAAACACCATTATGATTGTGCCTGAGTGAAGCTCTGTTTCCCATGGGGCATAGAACTCAGCTTTAACTTGTTGGTCTGTTGTTCTTTCTCGCACACAATTTCAGGCAATTTTTTATGATGTCCCAAAGGTAAGTAACATGTGGTAGCAGTTGGACCATCTAAAATAGGGAACTTTACATTTTAGGCTAAGCAGTGTATGTGGAGATTGTGTGCCTTTTACACCATAATAAATGATGACAATCTCAGCCCCAATTATGCTGATTGTGAGGATGAAGTATGACTTCCATGTTCCTTCATTAACAGTCGTATCTCTGGAAGAGGGTGCTGTGTCCCATGAGTACAAGTTAGTCAACATTAGACTTCCTGGCTCCAAAGAAAACAAATTAATCTTGGTTGTTTTCAGTTAATTGGTTTCTAGTTAGTTGACTTTCAATCACAGTCCAAGAAATCAAATGCACCAGGGATGAAAATATTACTTGTGTGAAAAGCAGTAACACAAGTAATATTTTGTAATTATACATGTGATTTTTCACTTCTTTCCATGATGTTTTATTTACTAAATTTTCTATTTCTGGTTCTTTTTACATAATACTCAGCTTCTGATTTACTCCTTACATATACTTTCAGAGTCCACAAATCTGAAGACCAGGTATGTTCTGTGATTTCTGTTAATTGCTTCTGATTTTCATTCATACTCAAATATTTTTTAGGATGGCAATAATTTCTGATGCTGTGGTATATTGGTCTCAGTAAAATTATTACTTGATTTAGGATTGCTGCACCCCTGCTAGAGAGATTTTTATTTGCTCACTATGACAATAGGACCATTTTCAACCAGTTATAGTACTGATAATTTCTAGATCATTCTAGAATATGCATTTCCAAAATAAGCACTCTTGGCAGTGTTGGTTTTCATCCAGAACTACTTGAAGAAACCCAGTTTGTTTTGTTCCCCTCCCATTTCCCCAAATCTAGAATTTGTTTTCAGATCTCCTGAAGTTGTGCAGAGAAAAATTATTAGTTTCTGCTGGGTTTGCCTTGGCTTTGAGATTATAGCTTCTCCCATCTCAATTTTCAATGAATGTTTCCCAGTATTTTCACACAGTGAATTCTGGGCTGGTCTTTGTCTTTCTATGCTTTGTTTAATCCACAAACTGGAGCCCAGAGTTTATTATCCTCACTATGAGCATGGATTTAATGTACCCATCTTTCTTTATCTATTCTTTGATTGTTTCCATTTCTTGTCTATTACAACAAAAATGCTGCTATGAACGTACTTGAGAAAATGTCCCTGTGGTGTAAGTGTGCTTCCTTTGCTTATGCTCCTAAAAGTGATATTGCTGGGTCTTAGATAGACTGATTCCTAATATTCTGATAAACCACCTTACTTATTTGCACAGTAGCACTTATTGTTTGTACTCCTACCGTCAATGGAGAGGACATCCCCTTACTTCACATCCTCTCTAGGATAAGCTGCCATCAGTGTTCTTGAACTTAGCCATTCTAATTGGTGTAAGATGGTATATCAGAGTCATTTTGATTTGAGCTTCTTTGGTGACTAAAGATGTTGAGCATTTACTTAAGTGTCTTAGGGCCATTTGATATTCTTCTGTTGAGAATTGTCTTCTTAGATGTGTACCTACTTTTTTCAAAGGATTATTTGATAGTTTGATGTCTGATTTCTCAAGTTCTTTATATATTTTGGAGACCAGCCATCTGTCAAATGTGGGGTTTCTGAAATATTTTCCCATTTTTAGGCAACTGTTTTGTCTTTTTGACTGTTGCCTTGGCTTTAAAGAAGCTTCTCAGTTTCTGGATGCCCCATTTATTAATTGTTGCTTTCAGTGACTGTGCTACTGGCTACATATTTAGGAGGTGTTCCCTGTACCAATGCATTAAAGGGTACTTTTTACTTTCTCGTCTATGAGTTTCCATGTGGTGGGATTTATTGAGGTCTTTGATCTATTTGGCATTGAGTTTTGTGCATTTGGGTAAATATAGGTCTATATGCATTCTTCTACATGTTGACATCTTATTATGCAAGTACAATTTGCTAAAGATGCTTTCTTTTTCCATTTTATATTTTTAGCTTCTTTGCCCAAAATTAGGCATTCATAGTTTTGTAAGTTAATATTCGGGTCTTTTATTTAATTCCATTGGTCCACCTGTTTCTATTCATGCCAATACCAAGCTGTCTTCATTACTGTAGCTCTGTAATAGAGCTTTAAGTCAGGTATGATGATGCCTCCAGATATTCCTTTATTTTACAGTATTTTATTGGCTATCCTGGGTTTGTTTCTCCATATAAAATTTATCATTGTTATTTCAAGGAAGATTGCATCGAATCTGTATGTTGCTTTTGGTAGGATTGCCTTTATGATTATGTTGATCCTACCTATCTAACAACATGGGAGAGCTTTCCATTTTCTGATATCCTTTACAATTTCATTCTTCAAAGACTTAATGTTCTTTTCATACAGGTATTTAACTTGTTTTGTTAGAGGTACCCCAATATATTTTATGTTGTTGTGGATATTATGAAGGATGATGCTTCTCTATTTATTTTCGGTCCATTTATCATTTGTACATAGAAGGGCTACTGATCTTTTGAGTTAATATTGTATCCTGTCATATTACTTAAGTTATTTATTGGCTTTGTGGAGCCAATTCTCTATGGAAAGATAATTTGTTCAGTCTAGGCATGGGGGCAGGGAGGGCCTTGATCCTCTCTCAAAGAGTTGATGGAACAGACTTAGTTGATTTCCCAGAGGAGTCTTTACTTTCATGAAGAAGCAGGTGGGGGTGGGTTTAGGGGAGCAGATGAAAGGAGGGAGGGGGAACAGGAATTGATATTTAAAATATAAAAAAGATAAGTTTTTAATAAATAATGGATTAAAAAGGAGATAAACAAATTTAGCCTTAATACTCACTTTCTCACTTCTTTTCCTCTTCACCTCCCTCCACTCTCCCTTTATTTCCTTGCATATTTTCTTACTCTTAGTTTCTTTTGTTGTTGTAAATTTTTGAGCATATCATATCATTTCCATAATACTATTTATCTGAGAAAGCTTTGCTAACATTTCTGCAAAATCAAGATGATTTAAATATGTCTTGAACCTCACCCCAAAAATGTTACTAGAGCACCTAATAGATTTCTGCTTGAGAGCAGTAAACTGATATCAGTGATTTCTCACACTGCCCATGATGGTATTTTGTATTGAGTAGCACCAGCCATTTACATATACTGCCCAGACATTTCATTAGGTATTTGCTGACTGTTTTGCATGGGCCCCTACAGCCCAGCCCAGTTGATCAGAATTTATAAACCAGGGCTTTTCAGTGAGAACGCGGGTGTGTCAGAGAGGCAGGCAGAGAAATATGAAGTCACAGACCCAGGTCGTCATGCGCCTGTTCCTCTGGGTGTCTGGTGAGAAATTTATAATATTTTTGGAGTCACTTCTTTTATACAAGAATTTTACAATGTGTGTAAGAAATACCCTTTTGAATATGACATTACAGGTTATGAAATGACAAGTTTTAAGTGTTACCATTTCTGTACATGCATATTATTCTTGTTTGCAGGTGCCAGTGCAGATATCATGCTGACCCAGTCTCCATCCTCCATGACTGTGTCAGCAGGAGAGAAGGTCACCATCAGCTGCAAGTCCAGTCAGAGTCTTTTATCTGGTATGGCTAACTACTTGGCTTGGTACCAGCAGAAACCAGGGCAGGCTCCGAAACTGCTGATCTACTATGCATCCACTCGGTACTCTGGGGTCTCTGATCGCTTCACAGGCAGTGGATCTGGGACAGATTTCATTCTCACCATTAGCAGTGTCCAGAATGAAGACCTGGCAGATTATTACTGTCAGCATCAACTTGGTACTCCTCCCACAGTGCTTCAGCCTCCAACAAAAACCTCTCTGAGAAGATTCTAACCAGCTGGCTGCACCACACAGCCCTGGACCTGCACACTTCTCCCTGCTGCCTGAGACTGGTGAGTTAAAAGAGTTGCTAAAAACTTTGAAGAGACCAGCAAAAAACAATGGGTTCAATGTCTCTTATGTATTTACATATGAAAAAATAACTTTAAATGAAAATGTAAATAAGAACTCAGTATTATCTTTCTATTCATTCTGTAACCCATTAACACAAGCTCTGCTGCTTGAATATGAGGGATTTAATTTTACAGTTCTGAACTTTCAATATCTAATATATAATACTCTATGTGACTAAGTAATGACAAATGCAAAGGTGGAGGCTCTAAGAAAAATGTTTCAGCTCTTTTACTGAATTCTGTGGTGCTTTCTTATTTCCTTACTGGTGTCCATTTCTTCTGTTTCTTTTTCTTTCCATTTTCATAAATTATTTTACTCTTCCATATTTTGATAAATTAGGTAGTCTTTTCTGTGACATTGTGAGTATGCATTTGTTTGTGTGCATGTGAGCATGATTCTAGGTACACTTTGACATGGCATAGTTGTGGACTTCAGAGGACACTTGCACATGATTGTTTCTGTGTCATTTGGGTCTGGAGATCAAAGTAGGGTATGACATCAGGCTTGCTTGCAAGTGTCTTTGGCATCTGATGGATCTTTCTGCTCCTTAAAATCTTTAATAGAAATGAATTAATTGTACTCAATTTTCTTTTTATTTTAATATAATTTCAAAATGATCTTTCCTCATTTTTTATACCTATCCCAGTTATCATTTTCTCCTTCCTCCTGCTCCCCCACAATCACAGCTCCCCACACACACACACACACACATACACTCCTCAGAGAATGTAAGGGTTCCCAAGGGGAGTCAACATAGTTTGACACATCACTTTGAGGCAGGACCAAGGCCTTCTACCACAAATCTAGGCTGAACAATGTATGCCTCCAAAAATAATTGACTCCAGAAAGCCAATTCAAGCAATGGGGATAAGTTCTTATCCCACTGATAGTAGCCCCACAGACAGCCCATGCCACACACAGGTCACCAATATTTGGAGGGCATAGTTTGATTGCATACAGGATCCCCTGCTATCCGTCCAGAGTCAGTGAGCTCCTGCTAGCTTAGATCAGCTATTTCTGTGGGTATGACCATAATGGTCTTGAATTCTTACTAATATAAACATTTTTTTTCTCTTTTTGACTTGTCTCTGTAATCTTGATGCAGTACTTAGCTTTGGATTTCTGCATCTACTTCCATTAGTTGATAGGTGAAGGTTTTGTGATGCTGAAATCTGACTTCAGGGGCAGACCAGTTTAGGCAATCTCTCCACTCTTGCTTAAGGGCATAGCTGGTGTTATCCTTGTGAATTCCTGGGAATTTCACTGCTGCCAGGTTTCATGATAGCCCCATAATGGCTCCCACCATCAAGATCTGTGGTATAGGAGTTTGTTCTGCCTATGTCTTGCCTTTCTTCATTAATGAATAAAGAAACTGTCTTGAGCGTGTGATAGGGTAGAGCAGAACTAGGCAGGGAAAATTAAACTGTTTGCTGGCAGGAAAAAGGTGTGGAAAAAAAGAAGGAGCTATGGAGCCACAGCTGGAGACAGACATGCTGAAACTTTTGCTGGTAAGCCATAGCCATGTGGCAATACACAGATTAGTAGAAATGGGTTAAATTAATATGCAAGAGCTAGCCAATAAGAAGCTGGAGCTAATGGGCCAAGCAGTGATTTAATCAATACGGTTTCTGTGTGACTATTTCAGAGTTAAGTGGCAAGGAACCAACAAGTGACCTTCCTTCAACCATATGTCTTTCTTCTCCTTTTCTGTCCTTCCCCAATCTTGACCAAACCATTTAATCATGTTCTGATGAGAATTCTTTGTTTAGATCTGTACCCCATTTTCTAATTGGATTATTTGGAATTTTGATGTCTAGTTTTATGAGATTTTTATTTTGGAGATTAGTGATCTGTCTGATGTGTGTTTGGTGAGGATCTGAACCCAATCTGTTAACTGTCTTTCAGCCATTATTCATTCTCCTTCAACCCTCTCCCAAGGTCCCATGTTGCCAAACTACTTGGGAGATCTTGTCTTTTTCTACTACCGATGTATTAGATATCTGTATGTCTCTCTAAGGGTCCTTATTGTTGTCTAGGTTCCCTGGGGTTAAGAAGAACATGTGCTACCTATGTTCATAGCAGCATTGTTTGACATAGCCAGAACCTGGAAACAACCTAAATGCCCTTCAGCTTAAAAATGGATAAGGAAAATGTACTCCATTTGCACAATGGAGTACTACACAGCAGAAAAAATAATGACATCTTGAATTTTGCAGGCAAATGGATGGAGCTAGAAAACATTATTTTGAGTGAGGAAACACAGACCCAGGAAGACAGTTATTACATGTTCTCACTCATAAGTGGTTTCTAATCATAAAACAAAATTGTATTTTCAATTGAGGGAAAAATAAGGACATTACAAGAAAATCACAACTAAGACATTTCATAACCCTGAAGACAGTACTTTAGAAGATATATAAAATGTTATGCACATAAAAATAGGGTATTTCAATCATGAGAGTACTGGGAAAAATGTTTCTGTCATAAGAAGAATACATAAACAATGACTCTCAGGAAAGGAGTATAGTATCTAACACTGTTTGAGGAAACTAAAACATAGCTGAAGAGAAGGGAATATTAAGCACCTCATCTTAATACCAGGTTTTCACCTTCATAAATTGCCTTTTTCATATGTGCTAAATTTGTCTATCCATCCAGAGGCAGTCCAGTAACCCTTAATGACAAAGACTCCTGCTCCCTTTCCCTGGTGACATTCCTCTACTCCCTCTTAGACATGTTGTAAGTGCTTTGTAATAGGGCTGTGGTTCTACATGTGTTAACTAAGACATGAATTAGGAGCTTTATGATAGGATCAGGCTATTTAATGCAAATTATGTGATTCCTCAGGCACTGTCAACATCATTATATCTCTCCTCACTCTGGAATGAAGTTGAGCTGCCTCACTGAAGTTTTCTTCCAGAATGTTATTTCCATCATGTTCACAGGCCATCCAAACTCCCTGCTGCTGCTTCTGCCCCTTTATTCTCATGGATTTATGGCCAGTGGACAGCAAGGAAATAGGCAACTAACACATGGAATGGACATAGATGGTAAGAGATTTCCTGATACAATAACAGAGGGTAATATTAGCCCACTGTTTGTTTCTTTAGAGTCAAAATAAAAACCATAAGAGAAATGTTTTAATTAAACAGCATGAGAAATGAACAACCACCATGACATTTGAAATATGCCCCATGTATCATATATACATATATAATATAAATCATTCAAAGCATCCCATCACCCTTCTAAAAAATAGACATAATTTTAATCCACAATATTAGTCTGGGTAATCTCACTCAGTAAAATGTTTTCTATTTCCACCCATTTGCATGCAAAATTCAAGACATTATTGTTTTTTACCACTGAATAGAAAATTAATCCATATATTTTGGAGATCAGACCTGTGTCTGATACAGGGTTGGTGAAGATCTTCTCCCATTCAATAGTTTGCCTTTTTGTCTTAATGAGAGTGTCCTTTGCATTACAGAAGCTTCTCAGTTTCAGGAGGTCCCATTTATTCATTGTTGCTCTTATTGACTGTGCTACAGGGGTTAAATGTAGGAAGTAGTCTCCTGTGCCCATGTGTTGTAGACTACGTTTCCACTTTCTCTTCTATCAGGTTTAGTGTGGTCAGATTTATATTGAGGTCTTTAATCCATTTGGACTTAAGTTTTGTGCATAGTGATAGATAAGGATCTATTTTCATTCTTCTATAGGTTGATATCCAGTTATGCCAGCACCATTTGTTAAAGATACTTTCTTTCTTCCATTGCACAATTTTAGCTCCTTTGTTGAAAAATCAGGTGGTCATAGGTTTATGGATTAATATCCAGATCTTCAATTTGATCCCATTGGTCAACATCTCTGTTTTTGTGCCAATACTAAGCTGTTTTCATTATTGTAGCTCTGTAAAAGAGTTTGAAGTCAGGGATGGAAATGCCTCTGGAAGTACTTTTATTGAATAGGATTGTTTTGGCTATCATGGATTTTTTTGTTTTTCTATATAAAGTTGATTATTGTTTTCTCAAGGTCTGTGAAGATTTTCGTTGGGATTTTGATGGGACAGCATATGCTGGAGAGGATGTGGAGTAAGGAGAAGACTCATGCATTGTTGGTGGTAGTGCAAACTTGTGCAACCACTTTGGAAATCAGTGTGGCAGTTTTTCAGGAAACTGAGAGTCAACCTACCTCAGGATCCAGCAATTCCACTCTTGGCAATATACTCAAGAGATGCCCAATCATACTACAAAAGCATTTGTTCAACTATTTTCATAGCAGCAATATTTGTAAGAGCAAGAACCTGGAAACAACCTATGTGCCCCTAAATAGAAGAATGGATAAAGAAGGTGTGGCACATATATACTTTAGAGTTTTATTCAGCAGTAAAAAACAATGACATCTTGAATTTTTCATGCAAATGGATGGAAATGGAAAACACTTTACTGAGTGAGATAACCCAGGCCCAAAAAGATGAATATGGTATGTACTCACTCATAAGTGGATTCTAGCCATAAACAAAGGACATTGAGCCTATAATTTGTGATCTTAGAGAAGCTTAATAAAAAGGTGAACCCAAAGAAAAACATATAGTTGTCCTCCTGGATATTGGAAGTAGACAAGATTGCCAGGTATTTTATTGTATTCTTTCCTGTGGTTTATTTTATGTTGTTTGATACTGGTGGGTCTGAAGCAAACATCATTTGAGTATCTCAGGGGACTTCAGCTGGAGAGATGACTCCCCTCCCGTGCAGTCTGCTGACTTTTAATCATGGTGTTCGTATATCTTGTTTTTCACCTTTGATCCTTAAGTGATCTTTGATAGAGCAGTGTTTCCTTCAGAAAACATTTAAAGTTTGTGTCATAAAACTCCTTCTGAAGACCATTTCTTATTTACTTCACCGGAAACTATTCTGAGAGCAATCTATCCCTAAATTCCTTTGAGAATGTGTCACCATTCAGGTCATATTCGTTTCAATACAACATTTACTGTGGGTGCGTTAATATTTACATTTCAATCTACTGAGAACTATGAGGCTTCCATCTTCCTGTCTGAGAAAATTTCAAATCAGCCCTTTGCTGAAAGGGCTTTTGACAAACTCTCAGCCCTACTTCTCCACCGCAGAGAATCTCACAGTCATACTCCCCCTGACATTTTATATTAAAACCTGAGTCTCTGAATTTGTATTCAGGTCTTTCCCAACTATTCTTGTAACAGCGTCTGAGTTTATATACATAATTGTCAGTTTATTCCATGTCTGTCATTTGACAATACCTCTGTTTCCTGTAGACTCTTCCATTTATTTCAAATTTTGGTTTGATTTACTCAGCATGTCTATGTATTGCTATCAGAAATCAGTAGACATCAGTTCTACACCGGTCTATTTACTTCCAACTAACTCAGCAATAGTCAGAAAATAAAACAAGTGTAATCTCTACATTTTAAATTTTGGGCTGGGCATGTAGCTCAGTGTTTGTTAGATCACTTGCCTCACATTTGGGAATTCCCAGGTTCAGTCTCACCACCACAAAAATAAATGAAATGAAAAAATTTTGTGACCTCCTAAGATACTGTTTTCAGTATTTGTCAAAGTTATATTGGTAATTCAAGATAAAAAGAAAACTTCTCTACTGATGACAGTTGAGTTGAGTTAATTGTATTCCTTTTCAATCTTAAAACTGCATGCAGTCAGTGTTCTCTATCCATGTTCTCTACATAAATAGATCAAACAATCTGTGGAAAATACATAGTGGATGGATTCCATTTAATAAATACTGACATTTTCTTTCTAAGCATAGCATATCTACTACATGCAATTTGCCTTGCATTAGGTATTACAAATACCATAGAGATTATTTAAAGTATGCAGAGGGATATGTGTTGGCTATAGGCATCACTCTACAGTGGGGAGGGACCTGAGCAGCTGCAAAACTTGATATGCACAGATTTTGGTGTCTGTATGGTCCTTAAAGCTAATCCCCAATGGATTCCAAGGCATGGCTACACTTGATTTAAATAACTGTTGGAGTCAAGAATTCTGGGACAGAAACCCAGTATTAAAAAGAATACCAACCTCTTCTGCCTGTATATATTTGTCCTCAGATCTCCAATACTTCTGATGAATATTATTAGAACGTTTTATTGAACATCTTAATAAAAATGATCTTATATGTTGCACTTATACTTATAAATTTAAATTTGAATTTGGCTTATTTTAACATTTTTGGTCTTTTTTACTTTCTGTTTGAGTTTATTTCATTGATGTTGAAATACATCTAAAGACTCAAGTCTTTTAAGTGTCTCTTACAGAAACCATAAGATTCCATCTGGGCTTGTGACCACAGTTTAAATCTGGCTTTGATTTGCTGGCTCTGATATTGTTATGGAAAACATGTCTCCATCTTCTGTCAATGTATTTTATACTTAACAGATTTTCTTTTAATTATGTGATTGGTTCATATCTTTTGTATTTACTCAAATCTCATTACTGGGGAAATCCAACTGGAATATGCGCTATGATTTTGCATATTTCAGAAAGTATTGCCCATGTTTTTGGAATGCAAACAATGTATGTTGACTTCCTATTCATTTGGGGGATATTATAGTTTTATATGATGATTTTATAAGTCCATGACTTTTTCTAATCATATATAACTATTTTATAAAATTAATTTTGTTAATTTATCTTTTCCTCTAAATCAAAAAACCTTTCATATTGCATTAATGGAATTTTATGTATTTTGTATGCTTTCTTATTAAGTTTATTTATCTGTGGTTGTGACTTTACTGCTTTTACAGTTGTCTCACTAAAGATCTAACTCATGGCTTTATTAAATCTGTAGTTCTTTTAAAAAGCACTATATGAACCCCTTAGTCCTCTACCATGCTGTTTCCATCTCAAAAGCAGATCAGAAGAAAGAAGAGGCAGTGAGAGTACTGTTCAAAGTTACTCTTAGTCGTAGCCAGGCTGCGAAGTGTCATAAAGCATCCCAGACCACTTTAGTGACCATAACTTTTGTAGACTCAAGCAACTGCGAGGGAGATTGGAGAAATACAAGACAGCTGGGTGTCTACATAGGAAAATAAATGCCCACACTTCATGAACAGAGTAGTCAGCTGGCATGTTTTCTCTATTTTCATTGTCTATGCTTAGTTAGAGGATCATTTGCAGCATTACTTGCTCTGAATTACGTTATTAGTTCAAGCACAGTTCATACACACACTGTATC